AAAAAACTTTAACGATCTGGTTGGTTTTTTTGAGGCATACAATCTTAAATACTGCGATATTATTGTTCTCACAGAATCTTGGCGGCTCGAAAGTGGTGACAATTTCTGTATTGATGGTTATTCTATGTACTATAATAATGCAGATTTCAATAAAAATGATGGCACAGTAGTCTACATATGATCCAATCTAAAGCATTTGGTAACGCACACAAAACTTAGTCTGTCAAAAGTCACCCTTACTAATGTAGAATTAAGTATACGTGACGTCTCTGTTAGGATTTCATGCATTTATAGGCCGCCTTCTGCAAGCACACCACATTTTCTCTCGGACATTGAGGCTTATTTCTCAGCCCCATTCGAAAATCAGGTTGATGTCCTGATGGGGGATATAAATCTGAACCTACTTAATGAGAACAATAATGAAGTTGTGACTTATACCTCAATATTAAACCACTTTGGCTTTGTCTCCACCATTAATTCTCCTACAAGAGTTACAACTGATTCTTCAACTAACCTTGATCATATATTTTTAAGAAAGGTCGTAACCAACCTAAAGTACTCATCTTTCGTGATCCAGTCTGCTATTACAGACCACTATCCGACCATGTTCAACATAAATAGTCTTAGCGGAATTCAGGCAAATGAGGGTGGTTCAAATGCCCATACTGTCACCAAAATAGATTATGTATTATTGAAAAGCTTAATCGAAGATCAAAATTTTGATAGCATCTATAACACACAAGACCCGGACTCTGCCTTGTTAATGTTAAATGAGATAATTTCTGATGCCCTAAATCAAGCAAAAATCCAAAAAACATTTTCAGAAAAAAAAATCAAAAAAGTTAAACCTTGGATCACAAATGGGATAATCACTAGCATAAAAAATAGGGATAAAATGAAAAAAAGACTTCTACGGCATAACACTCTGGCGAATAAAACAGCCTTCACACAGTATCGCAATAATTTACATAACTTAATTCAAAAGTGTAAATGTGATTTCTACAAAGCAAAAATTTTGAATAGTGGTACTGATATCAGAAAAATTTATAAAGTTATAAATGAAGCAACGGATTCAAACCCTACTACTCACAACATGAATCTAAAAATAACGCAAAATAATGTTCAGTTTGATAACAGCTTTGACATGGCTAACTTCTGCAATAAATATTTTGTTGATATTGGATACAATATGTATAAAAAAATAAAGTCGCCTCCTAGCCCCCTTCAGATAGAATCAACAGCACCATTCTCTATGTTTCTGAGCCCAACTAATAAGTTCGAAATAATAAAACAAATAGCCTCACTTAAAAATAATTGCGCTCCTGGTACTGATGGTATTACCTCTATAATTGTCAAACACCTTCACTTGTATATTGCTTCTCCTCTCGCACACATCATGAATCTAATTTTTCGAACGGCTAAAGTGCCTAAAGCTTTTAAAGAGGCACTTGTTATACCTATTCACAAGTCTGGAGACAAAACTAATATTGGCAACTATCGTCCCATTAGCATCATTAACTCCTTCTCTAAGATTTTTGAAAAATGCCTAAAAGATCGTTTGTTGAAATTTTTTGACCATAATAAGATCTTATCTGAGAGACAGTTTGGCTTTTTGAAGGGACTTAGTACAACAGATGCAGTTTGTGAATTGTGTAGGCAGGTTACTAGTAGTCTGGACAATGGAAAAAAGTGTATCGCCGTCTTCCTGGATTTGGCGAAGGCATTTGATACAGTGCCCCATGATTTGCTTCTTTTGGTGTTAGAATCTTATGGAGTTCGGGGCATTGTGCTGGATGTCTTTGCTAACTACTTGAGCGACAGAACACAGTCTGTTAGAGTTGGAGATACAATAAGCGATCCTCTTAGTGTTAAGATCGGAATTCCACAAGGTAGTGTACTGGGGCCAATTCTTTTTGTGGCATACATCAATTCACTAACTAATATATCAACTCGAAATGAATCAGTAATATCATATGCTGACGACACTGCTGTTGTTTTTTCTGGAGAAACATGGGACTCAGTCAGAGACTTGGCTATTGATGGTATAAGTATAATAAAGCACTGGTTGGACTCTTTTAAATTATCACTAAATGCCTCAAAAACTAACTACATTGCATTTTCACTAACATCTGCAAACCGACCAGAGTTTGACCGTTTGTACATTGACAATCTTGGCAGTCATATAGCTCAAGTTGATAGCACAAAATATTTGGGAATTATAATTGACCAACATCTGAAATGGGATAGACATGTACTTCGATTAACAAAAAATATTAGAAAGTTAATATATAAATTTTATTCAATATGAGAAATTTTAAACAAACAGCTTTTAATAATGGTATATAAGGGAATTGTTGAATCATTACTCAGATATGGTGTGGTTGTATGGGGTGGACTCTACCAGAACTCATTAGCTGCCTTAAACATTGCACAAAATTATATATTGAAAGTAATCTTTAGAAAGAACAAACGTTTTTCTACTGCCCTGCTCTACTCAAAAGAGGTATTTGATGTGCGTTCCCTGTATTGCCTGTCTACTTGCATATATGTCCACAAATCTGATAAATTGAAAAATTTTATTAGCCATCAATATCAAACTAGAATTAATGTGAACAAATATCTAGAAACACCAATTGTCTCCACAACTAAGAAATTGAGATCAGTATTATATCTTGCACCCAAACTGTATAATCTGTTACCACCTCACATTAAGCAATTAGATCTGAAGCGATTTTGTGTAGCTTGCAGAGATTTCATCTATGTAAATTTAGATACTTTTAAGAACATTTTCAACTAGTGGGTTCTTTGATTGTGTTATCGGTGACTTAGATATTGGATAATTTATTGTGTGCATATATATGTATATATATATATATATATAATATACAAGTATATATTGATATATTTTTTCCGCGTATTTTTGAGTGCCCCTTGGATACTTTTTCCTTAAGGAATAGATTTTATTTTATTGTTACTTTTTAAAACATATGCTACTTTGCACATACAGGTATTTAGTTACCTAGGTGCATTATTTCATTGTAGGGATTATACTTATTACATACAATGTTATTTCTACATGTACTATATAGTACGTTGAATTGAAATGTAACTAATTAGTATTTAGCATGTTTTATTTTATCCTTATATTGAATAGTAAATAATTATAAAACAAATGTATTATGAAATATTTAAATCTGAATAAATCTGAAATCTGAATTTTAAAAAAGTTCTCAAAGATTATATGTTAAGTGATTAACTTATAAGTAGTATGTGTAACTTGTATTGTATCAGTGTACGTTTTTTTAATAATTTTTTATCATTGTGTTATTGACTGTAGATTTTAAATTATTATATGAAAATTGTTTTTTAATTAAATTATAAATTAGCTTTAGTAGAATTTCAATTGATAACTGTAACTGTATAACTGTAAATTAGTCTTGACTAAATAAAGGATTTATATATATCACCAGTAACTGGTCTAGTGTAAACATTTTGTTGCTGGCAACAAGAAGCTCACTTCACAGATAATAGTTATTAATGATACTAGTTCGATATGAATACCATAATGAAACGCTTGTAATGTTGAATCACGAGGCGTTAGCCGAGTGGTTCACTTACACAAGTTTCATTGATAAAGTTCATATCGAACGTGTATCATTCAAAATTTAATCTTCGATGGTCCAAATAGATATGATTTGCCTTGAAATAACTGAAACTTTTTGAATTAAAATTCAAAATTTAGAAGGTGCCCATACTAGTCGAAAACCTTCTTGTTGATTTTTAGAATTTTGACTTTGGCAGCTTCAATATTGGATTGGAGTCTATTTTTGTGTCATAAATTCAGTTTTATAGTGGAAAATAATATTAATATTGGTGATTCTTAGTTCGAAAGTGTCCCTTCGAATATCGAGACTAGGGCTCGGAATTTTTGAAATTCAAGTATTCGAATAGTCGTTTGGTATTTTATTTGAATAGTTGAATAATTCGAATAGTCGAATAGTTGAATATTCGAATAGTCGGATAGTCGAATATTTGAATAGTCGAATATTCGAATAGTCGAATAATCGAATAGTCGAATATTCGAATATTTGAATATTCGAATAGTCAAATAGTCGAATATTCGAATAGTCGAATATTCGAATAGTCGAATATTTGAATAGTCGAATATTCGAATAGTCGAATATTTGAATATGTAGTCAAAAAGTCGAATATTCGAATAGTCTAATATTCCAATAGTCAAATATTGATAGAGGACCTAATTAAGAGAACAAAATGGGACTTTAAAAATGACGTTTTTCGACTAACAATCATTCGTGATAAAAGTTTCTACTTCCCGCAAAAGAACGTTCTACGACGAAGCGAATTTTTGATTTTTTATGCAGAGTATTAGTCAGAAAAACTAAAATAATTTAGATGTTTTCTAAATGGCAAATTTACAGAGGGTTAAATTAACAATACGAACAAAAATGCATTGTATTAATTGAAAGCTGAATTTCACCGAAAAAACCTTGTATATTGTATCATTCAATTCAAATATTGAAACAATTGAAATTTTAAATTGTTCAAATCAAAAAGTGAGTAATTGCATTGTTAAATAGTCCAATATTCGAATAGTCGTATATTCAAATAATCGAATATTCCAATATTCGAATAGTCGAATATTCGAATAGTCGAATTTGCTAACGAACAAAAAAGTCGAATTTAGAATAGTCAAATAGTCGAATATTCGAATTATTCGAATACAATTCCGAGCCCTAATCGAGACAGCACCAATGAAAAGGTTCTTCTGGTAACTAACTTTCTTTTTGTATATTTTCCATTTCATATTTTGGGCGTTTTTATGAATTCCTTAACGCACTATTTTTTTTATAGTGCTATTATGAAGTTTAATAAATAACATTCAAATGACAATGCTAAATGTGTCATAATGACACCGACGTAGATTAAATTATAAAAGGAACTCTATAAGAGTAATTGGAACCCTGTGGAACCCTACATACCAGTCTGCTGTTCTCTATGGGTTCTGCAGCTATTGTCAACAGCTCGAACCAACTTTTCCACAGCCTTATAACATAAAGTAGCCAAATTGGCTGGAGCATCCTCCCGTAACTGTCTTATCTCTGTGGCAGGCACCAAAGTAAAAATGTCCTGAACGTTTGAAACGTTTTCCGACCAGAATTGTTCCCAAAAGCCATCGTCGTTTGGATCAACAGGCTAAAATGTAAGTGCAGAGTGAAATTTTTGCATATGTGTACAATGCCACATATCCAAATTTAAGTAATCCATATTTCTGGAACATGCAAATAATGTTCTTTCGCATATGTTGTCATCAAAAATTTCGATACATAGCCCAGTTGATTCAATAAAATTTTATCGGAAATTGGAAATACCTCGGATTTTGAAGTTAACTGGACCACTGCCTTGCGAAAATTCAATTTTGTATCAACATTTCCCATATTTTCTTTTTCAAAATAGTTAAATTTCTTGTGGATTGTTGAATGTTGACACACAAACAAACCTTTTTTTATGAAACGTCAACTAATATGAAAAAGTCAATAAAAATGACGTCAATTGACTTTGGTTGGACTTCCTCAAGGATAATACACACTACTACTACTACAAGATAGCCTATCCTCATAAGGCCTGTGTAAAAGAAATCTGAAGCTCCCCACCACGCCAAATCACCAGTTGTGACTTAGACAGCATGTCGTTTCTCGCCTTGACGCTTGACGTAGCCTGTTTGCACCACAGAGCAAAGGGCTATGGTTCCGCGAGCTTTTGCTTTATTCATACTTGGTTTTACTATATTATGTAACATTCTATAAAACAACTCTTTTTTAGATCTTCTTTCCATCTTCCCCTTTGCCTATTATGTTAATCGAAATTAAATAATAATTTTTTGCATAAATTTAAAGTCTAAACTACGACCGCTAGTGCAAACAGCGCAACGATAATACACACTACACACTACTAAAGGCCGTATCAGACGTGCCATTGCCGATTACTATTAACGATTACGATTGGGAATTCGACCAATCAAAACGACCTGCTTCTGGTTGCGATTACCATTGTATGTTAAGGTTGGAGTCTAAATTTTACGAGGCCGTTCTGAACCGTAGCCGCGTAGCCAATGAAAGCGCTTTATGAACAGCATGTGACATGTGTCCAAACGTCACCTTTTTTGTTTTGAAATTTATCGCTTCTCCGGTGTTGCACCCAAACCTATTTTGTATTTTGGTTTGGATCATTCTCTTTCCTCTTCTTCTAATGTAATCATATAGCACATCAACGCAGAAGAAACTTCCCACCGGCGTTTGGCGCTGTACTTCGAATATTGTAGCTGCGACATTTTGACGTGATAAACATTTCAAGCGACCAGTAATCGGTTACGGAACGGTGTTAAGTGTGATTGCAATCGCGACGGCAACGGCAACGGCTAACGGAATCGGCAATGGCACGTCTGATACGGCCTTAAGGATAGCTTATCGGCCTCGTTATCGGTAACCACCGACATATTGGTGTGTCACCATTTCTGACGTCATAGCCAACTTGTCGGCTGTTTAAACAGCCTACGTCAAAGCGAGTAATAACATGCTGCCTACGTCACAACTGGTAATTTGGCTTGGGGGGAAGGGGGAATTTATTAGTTGTTACACACACGCCTTATAGTCCAGGAGGTGGCGCCAAAAACATGCAAGAGTTTTCGCAAGGCGGATATTTTCAAAATAGGTCGTACTTTAGTGCTAGAATGCTAGTGTACAGTCAGCACTCACAGTTCCGGGACAGCTGGCTCTGGGACGCGGGCAAAGTTGTAATTTTAAGAAGCATCTAAACTGTTTTCTCAAAGCTCAAAATTTATAGAAATTTTGCACATTATCTGTTTGAAGGTCACAGATAACGTATGTAAATCGTCAGATGTCTAGTTCGTTGCAAAAAGGGGGTCAGACCAAGGAGAATACACACTCTAAAGGAGTGCTTATCGGCCTCGTTTTGGGTAATCGCCGCCATATTGATTTTCAACTGTTTCCAACCACTGCTGACGTCATAACTAAGTCGCCAGCTGTTTGCGCCAACGGTTTTATAAATTTATAATTTGTCATGAAAAATATTTTATTTTGATTTTGATTAACCATTATAGCGCGTGAAGGTACCCCATGATGAAACCAATAATAATCTAGGTCAAAAGCGCGATCTGAGCGCGATATCTGGCTAGCTTTCATCATTCCGCCTATTTACAAGTTTTCAGCATGTATGATTTAATGGAGCCCTAGGAGAATTACGCGGCGTTTTGTTTACATTTCTTCATGTAAGCATAATAACTATTAGATAATTTATTCTATACTATTTAATTGTTTTTAGTGTTTTCTCATATTATTATAAAAACATATTCCCATTTGAGCATAAATCGATTGTTTGTTTATGTATTATATTCTTGTAAACACTGTCCCATATGGGCCCCGGCAGTAGCTAACATTTTTAGCTGTACATTTTGTTTTAGTGGAATTAGCCATAAGGAAGCTTTGAATACTGCTTATGATAATGAAAATGTTGATGGCATATATATTGAGCCCACACAGAAAGCAAAGAGCTCACTGACCAAGATTCAGCAGATGAGGAGGGTGGGCTGACTTATCTACTAGGCAACTTTGTGCTAATACAGAAATTGCGAATGGAAAAGATATCACAGGTAGGGTAGAACCAACAATTTTTTGAGAATTCATACTATTTTAACTTTATTTTTGTTTTCAGACATACCCGAGGAGATATAGGTAAAGTACCACCTTGCGCTACAGAAGAATATGCTTCGGGCTGCAGCGAGTGATTTTTGAGTCAATAACGATATAAGGTATTATGGACTGCATCATTATTCAAAGACTTTTTCTGAACGTAAAAAAAACGATGTGGTGGGGAAAACTGTAGCAGCCGAGGAAGAACAATGTGTTGCAAATGCAATATCAGCTTATTTGTTCTCTGTTTCCGAAAGATTCATACTCGGTAATAATTTTTACCCAGAATTTTTAGGTTTCATTGAAAAAATCAAAATAGAATCTTTTTTTTTTTTCGATGTTATGTTGCTCATTCGAAGAGGTTATGCCTAAAGGTACATGGGAAAATCTTGTTTTTTGGTAAATTTGGGAATAAAAACGTTCACTACTCATTTATATCAACATTTATATTAAAAATTTGATTTTTTTACTTGGTTTTAATGGGTTAACATAACATAATAGGAAAACAAAGAGGAAGATGCAAATGAAATCTAATAAAAATTTGTTTTAGACTATTAAGAGCGTTGAATTTGGCTACAGCCGACTTACCAATGATTATGAGTTTGAAATATACTCCTAGTCAAAATTATCGCACCACTGCACATAAACACCATAAAAGCAGTGGTGCGATAATTTTATCCAGGTCCAGGAGTATATATTTAAAGAAAAAGCAAGGTATATATTTGTATTTACTTATGAAGCTCTATTATTAGGTACAGAAAAATAGGTTTTCAGTCGAATTTAGTATGTATCACAAAAAAATATCAATACTCTAGGTTCAACTACTGTATTACATATTACTTAATATACCTCTACAAGAAAAACAACTACCTAATTTAATTTTTAGTTCACTTTGCTATTCAAATAAATAATTGTTATTTATTAATTTTTTTTAGAGTTTTTTTATTTATTACATTACAAGTGCGTTTATGAACAAGATTAGAACAGAGGTCGTAGACCGAGTCGTTCTAATCATACGAGTTTTGTAGTCATGTTTTAATGCATGTGTGATGCACAACGTTTTATCCACCAGCGAAAAGGAGAAAATTTTGTTCTAATTTTCATTTGTTAGTAGTTTTAAATTTGTCTACTTTCATTATACCTTCACAGGTTTACATATAACATTATTTATCAAATCACAAAAACTAGTATTATAGATTCATAACCTAGTTACACCACTAGTTATGTTATAAGTCTCATAGCATAACTCAAATACAAGAAAGATAGTAACCTATGTAAAAATGTCATTACCAAACGCTTAAAGATAAAAAACATAATGTAGGATCGACTACAAACAAAAGACTAATATATTTTAAAAGTTATGCACACAAAAAGCATTTTTTTTAATGGGACACCCAGTAAATTTTGATTTGTTGTTTCATTCTGCTCGCAATATATACAATACAATACAACTGAATAAAATTCATTCGAACTCACTCACAATATTTATATGCAGAGATGTTTTCTTTATGCTAATTTAAAATATTGATTACCTACACAGATTACTGACAGAGGTAGGGTAGTCAATACTTTCAATGAGAATAAATGAAACAATTTGTGCATGTAAATATAAAGTAAATTATATTCAATTGCATTGCATCGTATATATTGCAATCAGAATGAAACATGTTATCGAACAAATTGAAAGTTTACTCGGTGTTCCATTTAACATATGCTATTTGTGTGCATAACTGTCAGAGTAAGAATATATCAGTCACTTATTTTTTTGTCCATCCTATCTAAAACTTGGAAGACAAACCCTACAGTATTTTTTTTTTTTTTTTTTAATAAATATGCAAAAAAAAATTATGACAGTTTAAAATGTTATCAAGATAAAATGACCACAATGTAGATTACAAAAGTACTTGAGGTACAAGTATGAAATGAATGTAGTTAATAGTTACTTCCTCGGATACTTCGAAGTAGAAGTAGTTTTTAAAAATTATACTTTGATTATCAATTACAATAAGCAATTTACTTCAAGTAAAAACCTTGAGCTTCAAGTAAAGTGGCATTACTTGAAGTATATTTAGTGCTTGAAGTATGTAAAATACTTTCATTAATAATAACACATTACTTGAGGCAATTTTGGTACTTCAAATATCTAAAATCAGTTTAAAACAAGACAATTCTTGGCAATTTTTTTAGTTGGTCACAATAATAATCTGATTTCTATTCTATTCTGGTATCTTAATATGTTATTTATTTTTGATCTTTCAACTTCAAAAATAAGGTACTAAGGTGCTTTGGTTTTTACTATTTTATTATCCCGGATTTGTTTCAATTTTTTTTGGTGTATGGGAATGAGCACAATTCGCTTAAACACCGGCACCGAGCACAATTGGCTACAATTGAGAAAAAGTATAAAACTGAATGTGGGGGGCCAACTATGCTAACGGAAATCGAAGAAAAAACTTAATACAAAACTTGCAGATAAACATGAGTACTCCATTCATAAATTATTCTCCAGTATACAGGGTGGCCCAATAAGTAGTGGTGACACAGAGTTATGTTTTTTAAAATGACTCCCCCGATATACTTATTATGACATTTCTGGATTCTGCGGAAAATTCCAAAGTTCATTTCACGAAACAAGATAGTGAAAGTAAACAAACTTTGACAGGAAAGTCGAATTTTATTGGCTAGAAAAGGATTATACTTCGCCCTAGGCAGGACCATCTTAGGTTGTTTTGTATTTTTCTTCTCTGAATATATTTCCGAACGAATTCTTCAGCGGAATGTGTTGAACTTGATATTGTTTTACTCTAAATTGCTCACTAATCAACAATAATTCACCAAATACTATTCAA